TCAATTTCTATGATGTACATAATAGCATCCTATCGCCTTCAGTCAATTTCATGATGTACATAATGAATCCTGTCGCCCTCAGTCAATTTCATGATGTACATAATAGCATCCTGTCGCCTTCAGTCAATTTTATGATGTACATAATAGCATCCTGTCGCCTTCAGTCAATTTCATGATGTACATAATAGCATCTTGTCGCCTTCAGTCAATTTCATGATGTACATAATAGCATCCTGTCGCCTTCAGTCAATTTTATGATGTACATAATAGCATCCTGTCGCCTTCAGTCAATTTTTGCCAATTTCTAAAAAATTTGGTCGTTATATCCAGTGGTGTAGGAAGGAATTGCAAAGTGAAGGGTGCTTGGCTAACATACAGATTTTATAATGAGAGCTTGAAAGTATAAGGAGTTGCTCAAAGTAGTTCCCGTTCTGCCAATGGCAACTCAATTTAGAGGGTTCTGGGGGCATATCCCCCAGAAAATTAGTATAACAATACAATTTACAGTTGCTATACAAGTCAAATACGTAATAGCACCACCGGTTCCAACGGCTGTGATATTTTATAAAATATGACATTAACTTGGTGAAAAAGATTGTTCTAGCCCCCCTCCCCTTCCCACAGCGTTATGTCTGCGGACTTATTACACCAGAAACCGGGTTTTGATATTCGTGTTGGTACAGCACAGATAACCCATCGTGTGGCTTTGAGTTGAAGGTGGGTGATGTTGACCAGCTGCCATCTCTTCAGTTTATCACTTTTAAATTAGACACAACTAGCTCTCGAATATATTTGCGCGAAATTTAATAAAATAAACAATAAAACCTGTGTTAGAAAGGGCGTCATTTTCTGCATGTTAGGAATTTGTCAATTTTGGACCTTATATCGCGGGTAGTCCCACATCTACCTTAATATTGCAGACTCATCTTTCAGCAACCGTGTCTACTTGTTTTGGTTCTTCATCCATATTCTGACCAAGTGTTTTCGAACATCGTTGTAATTAAGTTTCATTATTTAATAGAGTTTATAATGCAAGTTCCAATGTACAGGCATATGAACTTACTCTCGTTCACATTTTAAAGCGACCCCTCATGGCGAAAGAATAAAATTTGGTCTTGAGCTAAGTTTTTTGTTGACATACAGGAAAGGAGATGATTTGATATATTTGTTAGTTTAGGCAAAAACTTCACATTGGGCTTATTTGAGCTGTGCCCACTGCAAGGATCGAACTCTGTATTTTAGCTTTATAAGCTTTCAAGCTTAGTGCTGATTTACTGGGAGCAGACTGAATAAGAATTTACTAGTTTGGTTATAATGTTGCGTAAATAAACCCAATCGACTCCTTCATATACTCTTCCATCGTGGATATCAAAACCCGATCGGGGGTTAGGGTAATGTGCTCTGATTACGGTTTTCTTGAGTTTAACGTTTTTTTTTTCAGGGGAAGTTTAAATACGTTCGATAATACCCAAATGTGTAAAATTAAGAATGTAGAACACAGAATGTCAAACGGTCAACTATTTTTTGTAACTCCAGATG